AATAATATCTAAAATTTCACTTGGAAATGCTATGTCTTGATCTATTCGATGTCCAAAATGCCCTCCTTGTGCAATCTGATATATATGAGCAATAAGAACTATTTTTATTTTAATATCCCCTAATTGAGCTAATTCTCTTTTATAAATATTACTAATTTGGTCTTCAATATTCTCGAACATGGCTAAGAGATCTTCTCAATATAGATAAGTTTCTGGAATAATAGCAAGATGATCGATATATAAACCTTGGTCAAAAATTCTTCTAGTTTCTATTAATCTTTTTGGAGCTGGATCTTCTATTCTTTGAAATATTGGTTTTTTTTCTTCAGATTCTGACTTGTTATCAGATTCGGATTCAGAATCTGATGTATCTCCTTTATCTGCAGTCTCATAGTCGCTTTTTCCCTCCTCTGACCCTTCTTCTGGTTCTGGTAGCTCGGAAGATTCAGGTAACTTAAGTGGCATTGGGTCTCCTCAGCTTGGTAAGAGATTTCCAAACAATCGTCCTAATACACCAGTGATAGTACTAAGTATTCTACTCATGTTTTTTTAAAGATTATATATGGTTACAAAAAAGTTTAAAATAAAAATTAATTTATTCAGATAATTATAGTTACATATTTATTCAAAAAACAAACTAATATAGGATTTTATAAATGTCCATATATTCTTAGGTCTGGAGAAGTATGCAATGAGGGGTGCTATCGAGAAGAAGGATGTAAAGTTTATTGGAAATCTCCTAATCGAGTTCTCTGTATAGAATACAGAAAATTAACTTTTTCTGTTTATAGTGCTTGTAGAAAACATGCAGGTAAATATCACATTCGAGATTTTTATCAGCGTTAAAAGCTTGCAAAAATTTAGGCAAATGATGGTCTAGTGATGGGCTAGTGCCAGAGATGTTTCCAGAACCCAAAATGTATATATTTATATCACATTATTTTTTACCTTGAGGTGAAAATTATGATCCTATTTGCTTATAATATTAGCATTCATTATATGCTTTTTAGTTTGTTTACATGTGCTTTGCTTTGCTTCGCACAAAGGCTTCGCTTCGCTCCACCTATAGTAAACCATGTATTGCATTCATTATATACTTTATGGTTTGTTTACATGTGCTTTGCTTCACTTCACACAAAGGCTTTGCTTTGCTCTGCCTATAGTAAACCTTGTCTTGCATTCATGATTGCTTTCGAATATGCCTCATTTATTAGCATATACTAGAATAGTAGCATATAGGTTGAAAAAATATAGTATCCATATTCGCTTCACTCTAAAGGGCTTGCTCATGTTCCTGCTATATTTTTTCTCCCAAGGGCATCTGCATCGCTCTAAAGAGTTTATACTCCTGCCTCTTCTTCAGCTACCTATATGGTATGCTATTGGGAGGCGATTTTTTGATATCTAGGGCAACCTTCTGGGTTTATTTGAAGGTCAAGGGCTTTTTGTACCAAAAAGCACATTTTTCTACTACTGATCCACAAGGCCAATTTTGATAATTTAATTACCATTAAAACCAGAAAAATCTCCTCTACAACTTTACTTAGAAGTCTAACAGACCCTAACTTAATAAAAACTTCTTTAATTTTAAAAAAAATGATTTTTATATTAAATTCTTATGTTTGTGTCTTTAACTCCAAGTATCTTGGAATTTACAAAGCCAATTTTAATGATCTAACTACCATTAGAACCAGAAAAATCTTCTCTACAACTTTATTTAGAAGCTCAACAAACCCTAACTTAATAAAATTTTTTTTTAATTTTAAAAAAAATTATTTTTTTTATGTTTAAATTTAAGTGAAGATCCACAAATAGCCGGCACTAGTATTATAATAAAAGTTGGAGTAAATTTAATATAAATTTTATAATAAAGCCAAATCTGGTATTGCTACAAAGTAAAGTTTTTTTTCTTACTAAGTAAATTACTTTTGGACTTCTAACAAAAGTTGTAGAGCTCATCAAGATGCATTTAATAGTAGTGAGAACACTAAAATTGGCCTAGTAGATTTTGAGAAATCTTTAAAAAACGTTTTGTCAACATATAAAATTTCTTTAAAAAAATTGATTTTTTTAAAACAAATTTTATATGTTGGCGAAATATTTTTTAAAGATTTCTCAAGAACCACCAGGCCGATTTTAGCGTTCTCACCACTATTAGATGCTTCTTGATGAGCTCTACAACTTTTGTTAGAAGCCCAAGAGTGATTTACTTAGTAAGAAAAAAAACTTTACTTTGTAGCAACACCAGATTTGGCTTTATTATAAAATTTATATTAAATTTACCCCAACTTTTATTATGATGCTAGTGCC